TAGACAATTGGATCCCACCATCTGCGTGATGTTTCCAGCCATTTCAAGCCATTTCCAGCTCGCGTGAATTCACGTGAATTGGTTGCTTTAAATTTTTAACTTCTTCTCTGGCTTCTCTGAGAAGTGGGTATATTGTACATTCTTAATAATATACAGTTGTAATACGTTGAACTTAATTAGGCTGAAAATTGTTAAAAATGATTAGGTGTGCAGCCTCATTGCAGTTGTCAATTGCACACACCACTCACATTGGTCTATTCCTAGTAATTTTTCACTGTTTCACCGATGAGATTATATTATTTTAAATTATCCCATCAGTGATGTGGGCAATTGATATACATACACCTGTAAGGTCCGTTTCCACCAACGCAGATCATCTTTAATCTCGGTTCAACTTACTCTTTGTCTTTTTTTAGTTCTAAAGATTAGAAAAAGACGAAGAGTAAGTTGAACCGAGATTAAAGTTAATCTATATTGGTGGAAATGGGCATAAGTCTTAAGCCTTAAATTGATCAATCACAATCGAATGTGAGAAGAATAAATGACTTAGGCCCAGTTCCACAACTGACGGTTAACTCATAACCGAGGTTCAACTTATTCATTGTCTCTTTCTAATTTTAGAATTGGAAAAAGATGAGAAATAAGTTGAACCACGATTAACCATGAGTTGTAAAACTGGGCCTTACTGCCAGTACATCCATTTTCAGTTTGGGAATTACATGACTATATACATTTTCTGACACTATCGATATAAAATCGTATCGCCAAAAGTAGATGGAATTCGTGTCAGTTCAATAGGAAAAAAGCCGGCATGGCCTCTCAGATTCTTCTCTGCTTCCACCATGGGTACTACAACCGCTCACTGAGCGCTCAGTGAGCTCTTGGATCTGATTGGCATATTCCGTTAGATCTAAAAATATAGACCAAACAGATACGAGAGCGCTCAGTGAGCGGTCGTAGTACTGAATGCACCCCATAATGTATTCCATGGAATGCACATTGCACACTGCCACAGTTGGCCACATTGGCCACAGTGACCAACAGTGACAGTGTCGTAGGTCATATTGTTTATGAAACACTGTAAAACATTATATTATTTATGAGATTCGGTATATTTTTCATAAATAGGGAAAACTGCAATTAATTCGAGAAAGAATTTAGAAGATTTCACAGTCGCTTCCGGCTGTGATATCTAAAAGGACGTCATTTTATTTTCGGAATATTAGCTACGGCGTTACCAGAGCTTCCCGAACAATTTTCTTCATTCGACCTTCTGTGGTTTTTATTGTAGACGCGGCGTATATGTGGATTCTTTATGTTTGTATGATCGTATTTTTCCTAACGATATGATGGTTATAAAGATTTAATTTCTTGACAGTCAGATTATTCGTGGTGGTCATTTTCGTGTAATATACAGTTATCAGGTTAGTGGATAAATTTTGTCATCAATTGTATTAACATTTTGATAAATTTACATATAAATTATATTTTTTATCCTTATATTGCTTATCAATTGGCTTTGCTGTTATTTTTTTTCTATCTTAAGAATAAACGAGTTGAATTTGTATATTACTAATAAATTTTATATTTTTCTTTCCTTGAAAGAATTTTGTTTTCTTTTTTATTGAAATATTTTTGTTAAGTTAATATCAAATAATATTTGGTGCAACAAAAGCAGGAATATCGAGGCATCATGGCTATGCATACCATACCACCAAAACGAAAAGAAATCTACAAGTATGAGGCGCCATGGCCATTGTACAGCATGAACTGGTCGGTGAGGCCTGACAAAAGATTTCGTCTAGCACTGGGAAGCTTTGTAGAGGAGTATAATAACAAAGTACAAATTGTTTCACTGGATGAAGAAACATCTGAATTCAGTGCTAAAAGTACATTTGACCATCCTTACCCTACGACTAAAATTATGTGGATCCCTGACAGTAAAGGTACTTATATATATATATATATATATTTAATTTTCTTGCAATTTTTATGTCAATAATCAAATAAATTCTCTACAATGGATGTAACTAAAAATATAACTGCAGCGAAAAATCTATAACTATTAGGATAATTTCATTGATCTTGATCTTTAATCTTCTTATCTCCTTTTAAGCAACTGATTTGATTTATATTTTACCTGATAAACTAAGGTCCTTGGATATCTATTGCATATCTATAAACAGAATTCAAAAAAGTTGTTTCTGAGAAATTTTGCAGACAAACAGTCAGATGGTCAGACTAACACTATAAAATTTCAAAGTGATTTAATTATAAAGTAGTGAGATTATAAAGTAGCTATGCTGCACTACTTAATAAATAAAATTTTTACCAGGTCAGCTTCCTGATCTTCTTGCCACATCCGGTGATTATCTGAGAGTATGGCGTGCTGCTGAACCTGAGACCCGTTTGGAGTGTGTCCTGAATAATAATAAGAACTCAGATTTCTGTGCACCGCTTACGTCTTTTGATTGGAACGAGGTGGATCCCAATCTAATCGGGACTTCCAGCATCGATACCACCTGTACAATTTGGGGACTGGAGACAGGGCAGCTTATGGGTCGAGTCACAAACATGGTCAGCGGTCACGTGAAAACGCAATTAATTGCACACGACAAGGAAGTATATGATATCGCGTTCAGTCGTGCCGGAGGTGGTCGCGACATGTTCGCCTCTGTCGGTGCTGATGGATCCGTGAGGATGTTTGATCTACGACACTTGGAACATTCGACAATTATCTATGAAGATCCACAGCACACTCCGCTGTTGCGATTAGCGTGGAACAAGCAGGACCCTAATTATCTCGCTACTGTAGCGATGGACGCTTGCGAAGTCATCATTCTGGACGTTCGAGTGCCGTGCACGCCAGTCGCAAGATTAAATAATCACAGGTCAATATAAAATGATTTAATATTATTATTTATATATACAATATAATATACAAGTTAATATTACAACGCTAGAAATATTTTTAATATTGAGTTTCTTTTCTCCGAAGCTAACGTCAAAATCTAACAAAGTTACTGATACTGAATCTGCGAGACCCATTTAATGTATGTTGATTAAAAGGCACAAATTAATTTCAAAGCACTTAAATAACATAACTCGTATAAAAAAAAGAATAAGCTAAGTGTTTATTTTAATAAAAATAATCCAAATTTGCAGATGTAACAAAAAGAAATTTAATTGTTTAACATTTTTGTATAAAATAGCTATTGCTACAGTAATAGATACAAGAATTAAAAGAACTACATAATGGTAGTAAATTTAAATATAATGTATTTTTTATTTTAATATCACTTCACAGAAAAAGCTGAATTATTTTTACTCATAAAAATCTGTATTATCCAAACAGTGCATAGTGAATCCAATAGATTTACAATCAGCTTCGAAGATTATAATTAAAGTAATTATACTAAGTAGGAAGACTATAATTAAATGGGTCCAGTAGATTCTGGTCTATTTTGGTCATGTTAACTTTGGAAGATTAAGAAATTTTTTTGACTAATTTCTTTCCTTTTAATTTTACAGGGCTAGTGTTAATGGAATAGCCTGGGCCCCGCATTCATCCTGTCACATTTGCACAGCCGGTGATGATCATCAGGCTTTAATCTGGGATATACAGCAAATGCCAAGAGCAATAGAGGATCCTATACTCGCTTATACCGCCGCAGAAGGTGAGGTCAATCAAATTCAATGGGGTGCCACGCAACCCGATTGGATAGCCATTTGTTACAATAAAGCGGCAGAGATTCTTCGAGTATAATTGTCTTCTTTATTGAAACGCATTTATTTCATCTCGAGATGTTCGAGAACGATGCTATTAGAATTGCTTTTTTATTATTAATATAATAGACATATATAGCTTGTTCTGTAAACGATAACTATAAAACATTTTATTTAATGCGTTTCACAATTGTACATATGTTTATAGAAATATTATAAACGTAATAGTGAACATTTTTCTTTCAACAAAAGACACAGTGTAACATAGTGAATCATTTCAGCCTTGTTATTTGTCAATGTTAAACAAGAATGAAAAGATTCACGATGTCTCTTGTTAGAAATTGCTCAGTATTAAGGTTACTCAGCTATGGATACTTAAATCATTGTATGTAATTAATTATACATCAGTCATTTTAAATGTCACTCTTAAGTTATATATAGTTAGGTATAGGCAAGAAAAAACCATTTTACTATTATTATATTATAGCAATCAGATTAGATCATTAGATTGTAGCGTTAATTAATTCATAGAATGTGAATCGTGTGATTGCAATTATTAGTATGTAATGTACAGATTTTTATATAGGTGTAAATTTTTTATATGTGAAGTTATTATACAATGACATCGTGCGAATATAATGTATACTCGACGATTATATTGTCATTGATAGGAATATTAAACTCCCAATTTAATTTATATCATATAATATTCATTGGCAATTTAAGATGTATTACATAAATATTCGATTAGAGTTGATATTTATGGGAAGGTATATCAATAATTAATAGACTAAAAATTATAAAAAAAGGTTATATACTCATATATATTGTTATATGAGATATCATAATTTACAAATGTTAAATGAATAGAATGCAGTTATTTACAGTAATGAGCTCCGTGTATGTATGAGCCTATAATTCACTCGATATAAAGTAATTTATTCCTTCAGTTCATATCACTACTATATTTATATCTATACGATTTTTTTTAGTGTGCAATTTCAATAAATATCATTAACTCTGATACAGAGTAAATATATTTTTATTGCAACCAATGTAATAATTATTTTAAAATCGCGTAATAATTCGATATTCTTTTTTCAAAAAAATTTGAAGTGTTATTAAGCAGCAAGTCACGACTTTCTACCGCAAATAAAATACTTTGATCTAATTATTAATACATTTTTAGCGCAAGAATTTAATTATTCTCATGCTGATATAATAAAAGAAATATGCTTTGGCAAGAATTTATGCCTTAAAGCTTATATAAATTACTTGTATAAAAATATTTTATATCTATTTCAAGTCATACACAGATACAAATGAATCGATATAGTTTCGTATGAGATATATATTATTTACATAAAAGCTTCGACCGCTTCGTGCTGATGAATAAATTATGTCCACTCAATCTCTAGACATTCTCGCAAATTACATGCACGCGCTTCGCACTACTTTCAGCAATAATTTATACAGCACTACGAATTGTAAGCAGATCATATTTATGAGAAGTATTAAAACTGGTCTTTTACCTTCGCTTCAGCTTGATTCTCTTCTGAATTGGCTAGCGTTCTGAAGATAATCGGCGTGACTTACATTATGCAAATAATACCTATTATAGTCTTCTGAATACTTGCTCTATTTTAACATAGAGTAAGTTCAGATTGCTGAGTACAAGGTACATCAATATATCTCGATATCCGAGGTTTAAAATTCAAGGCAGCTGCACTGAAAGACTCGTTATACAGTCTTTTGCAATTAATTTTAATGGCAGGAAAAATCACATCTTGCACCAGGTTTGAATATTCCGGTGCATTTAAACTTTCGTTATCATACGAGACACGTACTAACGTATCTACTACCAACGCTTTTCTCAAAATTATTTTCTAGATTCTATATTCTTTTCGAGAACTTTTTTGAGCTCACGAAAAAAATGCATATATAAATTTTATAGTTGGAATTATTCTTACAAAGCGCATAATTTGCTCGCTATATAATAGAGATGAAGTACCGTGCATGCCATAGTGAGCATGTTTCCCATAGCTATGCATACATGTACTCGGCGAAACGCTCGATGGATCTTCATGTAATGCGTACAATTTTTGAGTGGTCCAGGATTGTGACGGCCTATCTCGTTGCCGACGCCCGCAGCGCGTTCGAAGTTATTCTTCTGCACGATCAGTTGGAGAAGTGGAGGTGTCAGGTAGAGGCGTATCAGTAATTCTAGAAAAAAGGCTCCGGACATTGCGCCAACCTGCACGTAACACAAATTTCACTTTTACTTTTCTGAGAATTTATTAAATTTATTAATTAAATTAATTAATTTTTATTTAAGATAAAACGAATTATTTACGCGTTTCAGAGAAAATTAAATTATATCTAATTAAATGAAAATATCTTATTTTTTAAATATTTTAAGGCATTATTTATACCTGAACAGCAATTTCAGAGTCCCATGTATGCGTCGGATGATGCTTGACAAATATGAGGAGCGTGATAAGACTTAAACACGCGTTAATTGTAAAGTATCTTGGAAATAGAACGCGCTGCACTTCGCCGAATGCATGTCGTGGCAGTGCAAAGTATAAAGACAAGCCTGCGAATAAATGGTATAGCTATTATTTCAAAGAAAGTCAATTTAAATCAATTAGAAAAGTAGATCACGAGACTTCCTTTTATATATCGTTTTATTAAAAATATATTTTCAATATATTTTTTTAATTATACACATACCGGATACAAAAGTCATCCAAATTTGAGCACCAAAGTGTATAACGAAGGATGTGAGATAAATAAAGGACATCATTCTTGAGTAAGAATTATTAGAGCTCTGTACTCGTTCTTTGATTGGGAAAAGAACCGATGTAACGAATAAGACTGCGGCAATCATGATTACATGTGCAGGCTGTGTTGTGTAAAAGAGGATTCTGAAAAATCACAATTACAGATTCAATAAATTTTGATCTCTTAATTTTGAAACAATTTTATGAATAAGTCAATTGAAGAAAATTATAATAAAAGTGATAGAAATAAAAACAAGTAAATATTGGGTCAAGAAATAAAAACTAGTTTTATATTAAAATCAAAGAAAATAGATTTAAAAAATAATTTTGCAACAAATAATCAAGAATTTTTATTTAAATATTTTACAGCCAATTAATAAATTCTAATAAAAAATAAATTAAGAAATTGAAAAAATGAAATACATGAAAACTGTAAAAATTTTTATCACTATATACACAATTTAGATTTAATAATGTCAGATCTCTTCTTGTTCACTGTTATCGCTGATAAACCTAAGACAATTTTTGTAAGATAAGCGCGATATCGCGATATCAACGACCGCGACAATTTTCGTCACGTGCAACTGTGTTAGATAATCTGAGCATGCATCACTTAGCGTTGATTTATGCGTATGCCGTGACGTCAAAGTCAAATAAAATCGTCGAGATTGAAGGCGCTTAGGAATGTTCCGCTCCTTTATTGCTAATATAAGCAATTGTGATCAACGTCTATATAGATTCGTTTGCATTTCGTTCTAAAACGAACTGAAGAACATAAAACACTACATCATACATGTCTTTTACTTTAATTATTATATCGATTTTCTGGTAAAAATTTTTCTTAAAATTCTTCATATAATTTTCCAAAATTTTTATGTAAATTTCAGAATTTCTCAAAATCTTTGTATAACTTATAACTTTTTAGAAAATATCTCAGATTTTTATACGAACTACAACTTTTAAGAAGTGCTAAGAAAATTGATATCTTTTTTACAACTCTTATACATGTGAATTCTGAAATGTTTCAAGACTTAAAACTTGAAAAAATTTAAGATTTTTTTTTTAGAAATCTTTATAAATTTCGAATATGACAATTTCTTCAAAATATTATGAGATGATATAAGAATTTATTTCACAACTAGGAGTCATTACAGGATTAAATTAACAACAATAAATTATTTGAAAGGCATATATCACGACGCAAGATGTTAGTAGCTATTATTCTATATTTTCCTCCAATTTACATTAATAGACGTTATTTTACCAGGATTGTTATCAGTTTGATGCGACACGTAAGACATAAAAATAAAGATATAAAGAACTATTTTAAGATCACACGAGCAGAATATGTAATTATCATCATTTATATTCCGCGATTTATATGATCCGAATGTTAAAAAGGCAACTTGAGAAGCTGGTAAACTCGTTATTAAATTTCATCAGGCGTTTCCTGCTGAGATTCGCATGTTGCATACATTAAAAACGATAAAAAACGAATAATTCCTTTACGTATATGTGCATACGTATGTGCACGCGCGTACGTGACCCTTTCTCGAAATTCTTCGAAGTGTCTTGTATATAGTTTATGAAAGACGACACTGGTCGAACACCTCGAGATGATGTCCTGTTTTTTGCAACAAGTCATAAACGTGTGTTTCCGACAAATTCTTTGTATTTCCTAAAAGAAATACGTATTGTATTTTAAATTTATACGTTTTATAGAAAAACGAAATATGTATTTAAGATAATTCCATTCCGTTTTCTATGTAACTTTTATTTTAAAATAATTGCTAATCTCGTTGCAAACTAATACGTGACTTGATCCATGTACAACAAAATGCAATTTAATATAACAATTCAACATGAAATTATCGTTTATGACAACTTAATCATCAGACTTAATCAGACTTAATCAGATTTAATCATCTCAGTTTGTTCATCAATCGTATAACAAATAATTGCATGTTTTTTCAATATTGTGAAACTTGTATTTTTTTATTCGCGCAGTTCACACTTAAAAAAAAACATGGCGATAGTAATTATAAAAGTGACTTATGTCTAAAATTTCGCAAGTACTCACCGTTGCAGAGAAAAAGACACATTGAAAAGATTGGCTGCTGCAACAAATTATAGATGGTAAAATATGTCATAGCACTTTTAATTGGTTGCAGCAGCCAAATTTTGATTGCGTTACTGACATTGCGGATGAGCTAACACAATTAAAAATTGGCTGCTGCAACCCAAAATTGACTGTTACAGCCAATTAAAATGCTATGCCATATTTTACCATCTAATTTCCTGCAGCAGCCAATCTTTTCTTTCAGTGTAGTGATGGCAACTACACAAATTTTATATGTACAAATATAATGCACATATATATATATATATAAATAATTGAATAACCTATTTTATATAATTACAATAACTGTAAGAAAGTTTATTCAACTATGTATATTAATTTTACGTACAAAACTTATATAATTGTCTTTTTTTTTTCTCTGTAATGACTGACGTCGAGCATCTGCGAAATTTCAGACACAAGTCGTAGGATACTCAATAATTTTGCGTGTCGTTGTATACCTAAATAATCTTCGGAGGCGTATAATTTGCGCAATAGCGTCAATATTGCGTGAGGCAAATGAGAGAAATGTGTTCGCGACGAGAAAAATTACTTCTCTTTCGTTAACCAGTTAAAAGAGCCGCCAATAAATATAAGCGTGTTTCATCCTTGGACTAATTTCATGTTTGCGAATAAATCAAGAGGGGTGCACTTACTGAGAGAGAAACTTAGCCCGATGATAATTAAATGCGACGCTCTCGATCGACTTGATAAAAAACATCTGTGACAATACGACGCGCGTGATTGCATTAATCGCAGATTTCTTTTTGAAGTGTCGATTAATCATCACGAGGTTAGTCAGAATGAAAATTCGCGCTTATTCACGAATTTCTCACAGCTGTCCCCTCGAGATTACCAAATCGAAATTTCGACACGAACGGATGCGCGAAAATTTTTGCTTATCAAGCATTTTGCGTCACGTCTACCCAAAGGAACACAAATCAAGAGAAAATTAAAACGATTTTATTTTGACATCATTCTAACATAAAAAGCAGAATGATGATTTTTGATTACAAAATTTGACTGCTTATTGATGTTAAAAATCCAAATAAGGTCAATTAATTTTTTATTGTTCCTTTTTTTTGGATTGGAAGACGAATCTCGTTGGAGACGAATATAAAAAATATATCCTTTTGTTTCTTAGATTTTTCATCGATCTTGATAAGCGCACAGTAATCAAAATGTGTGTTTCAGTATAGATGTCTCGATGATACGAAGTTGATTAGTGATAATGAGATATTATAACCTTCCATAAAATTTCCATGAAAAATTTTGCTGCAATATCTAAAACTTTAAGTATAGATATTCATTTGAAAATAATTTCGTTGAACCATCAAAATAATTATGTAGGAAACTCAAGTCATAATGAGCAATGCTGCAAAATTTTTATATTCTACTCAGTCGATAGCAACTAAAAGAAACATAATATTTATATGCTATAATTTCGCACTTAACAATATAAATGTAATATAATACATGATATCATATAACAGTTACAGATACAGATGTTATGTATGTTACTTTAAATTGATGTCAGCTGAGTAGCAAGCTGATTGCTACCAGCTTGAATATTCTATACATATATAATTATTTGGTTACTCGAACGAAATTATTTTCAGATCTGTATCTGGCTAAATGTTTAATTGAATACTTCAACACAACAGCGTTCTTTCTGTACAATTATATTTTTTGTTACTTTCTCTTCTCGCAGCATATTAGAAAAATCCTAGATATTTTTTATAACCGTACACACACACACACACACACACACACACACACACACACACACACACACACACACACACACACACACACACACACACACACACACACACACACACACACATATATATATACGTTACACTCTTTCCTTTCTTATTTTAGACAAATGTGCATTCGCTGTTTTTCACTGCATATTTACTTTTCCTCTCATTTATTAGCTTTCTTTTTATTTTCTTGACTTCTATTTTCTACTTTCTGATTTTTCCCATTTTTTACTTCGTTGATGAAAGGGAAGACGGAAGCTCTCTTCTCAATTTAAAATAACTTTCCGTTCCACGACAGAGGATCGGTAAAAGAGAGAGCCGGGGGCCGTAGGTCCGGATACACGACCGTAATTCGACGTGCCGGACGCACCTATGCGTGTGCGTGTATTCACGTGTAGGTGCACCAGGCCGAGCCAGGCATTATCAAGTGGCAACGTGCGAGAAGGCACGCACGACCCGCCGTTTGGATTCGCGACCGATCCAGCAAAATCAGTCCTCTCTGATTTTATTAACCCTTACCGTACCATCTACAATTTGGTGCCTCATCCATACCATCAAGGGTCACTGGAATGCCTTCGTTTTTTTCACCTCTTCAAAATAATTCAAAAAATTTCTAAAAATTCACCAACATACTTTCAACTTTTTAGAATAAATATTGACTCTTTATTTTGGAAAATAATAAAATGTAGTATAATTTATAATTACCGAAAGACTCAAAGAAACTTGCACGAACAGGAATCGCTCGGTCACTAATTATCCATATTAGGTCCGTTTCCACCAACGCAGATCAACTTTAATCTCGGTTCAACTTACTCTTTGTCTTTTTCTAGTTCTAAAGATTAGAAAAAGACGAAGAGTAAGTTGAGAGAGAACCGAGATTAAAATTAATCTATATTGGTAGAAATGGGCATTAGTATCGGTAAGGGTTAATGACGCGAATATGCGCGAATCTCTATTGCACGAATCTCTATCTGGAGTCTCAATTTGTTTTATCTGTTAAACATTGTCGCGTTAATTTCAAGATACAACTCTTAACTTTGCAGTTGCCAAGTGCACGATTCCTCTGTGTAGATAAATATGTGTGTTAAATCAATTTTAATGTAATATGCAAGAAATTAAAAAGACATAAAAAAAACACAGAAAAAGGAAAATGTAAAATGTTGCTAATCATTGAAAATTTTCTGCTCAGGCTACTTAAGTCAGGCTGTATAGATTATTAATTAATAATAAATTAATAAATATATAAGTTATTAATTAAT